ATTTTAACGCACATATACTAGAATCAGAGGCTCGACGAGAGCGAATCAACGAAGCCTCAAGATCCCGAAATTCCGACATCATTAGGCCTTAAATGTCCAACGAACGGTGCATGACCAAAGATTCGATATCGGCTCCATTTCAAAACACTTCCCAATTTCACCCTTAGTGATCATCACGCCTATTTACTGAGCTATGGCCACTCCATTAAAAAACTAAAATAGAGCCCCATTCTACACAGGGGGGTCAAGTGAAGAGAGAGAAGAAGAAAGAAGGAGAAGAGAGGGAGGAGAAAGGAATGGAAGTCCTCTTCCGACCAACGCTCGGGAGCTCTTCTGCCGCTACCCGACACATGGGGATTCTGCCGTGATATTCGGCGGAGTAACCTAGGAATTCGTTTCCCATATTTGCCAACAGAGTATCCTTCTGCGTTTGAAACTCCGCTCCAAGTGAAGCCGGAGTTCTCCTCTGCCACCAACAGACGTCGGACTTCTACCCAACGTCGAACTTCTCACTCTTCGCCAAGTTTCTACCCGACGCCGGACTTCTACCGTTATCAAACTTCGCTCTGGACGTCTACGCAAAGATGGATTTCTTCTCCATGATATGATGACTCTCTACACTGACTCTGTCCTTCTGATCTTCGTCGTCAGACTACTAGTCTTTCCGACCCCGTCGCCCGCTGACTACGGTCCTCCTGACTTATGTCGCCCGCCAAAATACATTCTTTCGAACCCCGTCGCCCGCGAACTACGTCCTCCTGGCTATATGTCGCCGCCGACCTACAGTCTTTCAGACCTCTGTCGCGCGACTACGCCGTCCCGCTGACTTACGTCGCCGCTGACTTACAGTCATCCGACCTCTCGCAGCCGACTATGGTCCTCCTGACTTACTGTCGCCCACCTGACTACAAGCCTCCCCGATTCTCCGTCGCCAGCCGACTACGGTCCTCCTGACTTACGTCGTCCCAACCACTACAAGCCTTCCGACCTCCGTCGCTCGCCGACTACGGTCCTCCCGACCAAACAAACATGTCAATAGTGAATTCTTTGTATTCATATCATGTAATGTACTCTATAAATGATGTACATCAAGCTAAGGCCTTCTCCCAAGGAGGGCCTCATTTATAATCGACTGCAATACTAGTGGATCATTCAAACTGGGCTTAGGCCCGTGCGTTTTTTGTCCCCTTTTTAGGGTTTTCCACTTAAAAATTCTTGGTGTCTCTCATAATATGCTAGGACCTCTCTCTTATCTGATTGCGTGCCGATTTGTACAACGCAGGACGATAAACTTTATATTCTCATACTGCCGCGAATACTCTCTGGACGCAACAATCTTATATAACAATTTATTGACGATCAAACATCCAAATAGCCATACAATAATGCATATGTCTCATTTGACATCACTACATTTCATTGTCTTATAAATGATTAGATATTGTCGTAGCAGTAAGCTCCTTTGAGAAGGCCATCATTACTAACTTAATAAAGTTGGATCATCCCTTACCAACTTTCTTCATGATGATATCTTGCCATCACTGAAATTAGATAAATACAGTTTACATAAATCGTAACAAGAAGTTTGAGCAAACTATGGCCAATGCATGGAGTACAATTATTGTTGCTGATAGCACCGAACGTCGTTCAGAGACTATTAGAATATGTATCATGTTCACCCCTGCTCGGTACCCAACTCGGTACTGTTCTAGGTACCGAGACTCCCGTATCGTCTGTACGTGATGCATTCTATTTGGCCTCCGGAACGGTGAACTGCTGTTTTGACATCTGCACAGAATTAATCTTCCAATGCATGATATTCATTATATCTCTTAATAAAAACAAACAAATAAATAAATTAAAATAAAATAATATATAAAATATATATATAATAGATATATAATATATATGGATATTATATACAAAAGAAAATTTTTCAAAATTTAATTATAAACCTAGAATCTTAATTACATGTATAACTACTTAAAAAATTAGCATAAAAATGTTATAAAACATTTTTCAGAAATTTAAAATTTAGTTAAAAATATTATTTTTAAATTATAGAACTAAAATAAATGTTATACAAAATATTAAATTATTTAAAAGATGTAATGAAAGTTAAAAAATTAAAAATATATAAAGTAACTATATAAAATTTTTAACAAAAAATTAACATTAACAAATTAATTTAATAAAATAGTGCAAATTAATATTAATAATTTAAATAAAATCAATATTAAAAACAACATTAAAAAATTACATTAGTAAACTGACCTTAATAAATAAATAAAAATTAACATTAACAAAATACTTTCATCAAAATTATATAAAAAATATTTATTCTAAATAAAAAAAACATTAATAAAAAATTTTCCTAACTAATATTCAAAATAAAATTTACTAAACTTTTTAATGTTAAAAACATATTATGTGTTTTCTATAGAAAAAAAAAATTCTTCTTTAGAAAACGCACAAAAACAACAACAACAATATCAAGCTTTTGTCCTACTACGTGGGGTCGGTTATATGAATATTTTTCGCAATTGTGTCGTGTTAGAAATCGCAGTGCAATATATAAAATATCGTGTTTAATAAAATTGGTGAGGAATCTTTTTTTTTTTTGTTTTTTAACTATTTAAATTTTTCTTAATTATATATTTTATTTGCCTAATTTATGTTGTATGAAGTTTTGTTCTTAAAATTTGACCTTTTATAAATATATAATCTTAAGGAGAATCTTAAGTCACCACTTTTCCTCCTTTCTTAACAATGTCTTTACTTAAGTTTTATTTGGGACGATTTTGTTACTGCTTCTTAAAGCAGCTTTCTAGTACAATAAATAAAAATTTTATAAGCTTACGAAGATTAAAATTTAGAAGCAAATGAAATAACTAGTCAATATAATAAAACTATTGAGTTTTAAATTGACTAACAATATTCACAATTAGAAAATTCCTATAAATCTTTCAGCTTTTATGAATAATTCTTCGAGGAAAAGGATTTTTTTTTTAATGGTACTCTATATCCCTACCATAATTTTTTTTCTAAATAAAATTAAATTAAGTGTTGCAGAGATTAGAATGGAGAAAAAGGATTCATGTAGCCGACCCCACGTAGTGGGATAAAGGCTTGATGTTGTTGTTGTTGTTGTTGTAGAGATTAGAATGCTCAGATAGATGAGTGACTTTACACTTAGAGCCAAAATGCAAAACAAATATAAATGTGAAAATATTTCAATAGCTCCAGTGCCAGATAAGATTAGAGGAAGTCGCCTTAGATAGTTTGGTCATAAAAAATGTCAACCATCCAATGACCCGATTAAGAGAATAGATGTATTACATTTGATCTATGCTAATTAAAGTTGATCAGAAAGTAAAAGAGAAATATTTTTTATTGGATTTAAATGATATTTTTATTCATAATAGGATATAATACAAAAAAAAATGATTCATATAGTTGATCATAAGGGTATTTTCAATCTAAAAATTCATTTTCCGCTCCAAAATACAGTAACACTCATAACACTAAAAAAAATATTATCAGTAATTTTTTTTCAATAGAAAAATGGCATTTGTGAATAGTGCGACGCCAATATTATCGCCGCACTGTTCACGTTACGAGAATGGCTTTGATTTTTCTCTTTCAAGTGTAGTTATCGGACAACAAATGCTAGTTTAACGTTCGGTTGAAGATGATCTAAGTTATGGGATTATCCAAATGATGACATGGCGGAATCTTAACCATTGAAATAAAATACGACAAGAATTAATTATTATTACACCTACTTATACGGTAATATTTTGAAGTACACAATTAACATTGTAATAATGGAGGACTCCATTTTCGTGCTGCAGAGAGAATTTTAGAAGGGGGCTGGAATCTTAGGGAAGTACAATGTGGGCCTTTGATTTTACATTGAGATATGTGCAATTTTATGTTACACGCCTCTTATGGTTTTAATAGTTAGTTCTAAAAGTGTACAAGTGGGCTTACTAGCTATTATTAGCAGCCTATAGTTTATAGGATTTAAATAATGTGAAGGAGAAGCAACAAGAAAAAGCAGCAGAGGTTAAAACTCGTTTTCCTGAAAAGGCCCCTTCTTTTTATCATTATTACATCTCTGTTACATTTCTGCCCCTCTGCTTCCTCTCTCTCTCTCTTCAATCAAAGAGACAAAAGCTAGGGTTTCCACTTTCCACTTCTTCACGATTAGCTTCCTCAGTCGTTCGAGCCTCCTTCTCGTAGCCTAATCACGACTCGGGTTAGGCTTGGGTAGGAGTTGGGTTGAATCTTACGGTTCCGAGGAATGCGCCTCCCGCCGGCGATGACTCGCCGCCGGGATATATCCACTAAAGATCTCACCTTTTTTCTCTTCACCCTTCTACTTCTCCTGTCTTTTGCTCTCGGCGGTGAGCGCGACGCGCTGCTACGCTTCAAGAGCTCCGTCTCGGACCCTGCAGGTCTGCTTGCTGCATGGTCCACTGAGAGTTTGGACCACTGTTCTTGGCCATGGCTCTCTTGCGACTCGCGCTCGCGGGTTGTTGAGGTCAACATCTCCGCCGCCGCTGCCACTTCATGTCCGCTTTCCACCCCGACTGTCCGGAGCTGCCCCGATCCGACACGGCGGCTAACTGGGCGCCTTTCCGCATCCATGGGCGAGCTTTCGCAGCTTAAAGTCCTTTACTTGCCATTCCATGGCTTCTCCGGTGAGATCCCTAATGAGATTTGGCTGCTGGAGAATCTTGAGGTGCTTAATCTAGAATCGAATCTCTTCTCCGGCTATCTACCTCAGCAATTTCCTCGTGGTTTGCGTGTGCTGAACTTGGGGTTCAACCGAATCGTAGGTGAGATTCCACAGTCCCTCTCGAACTGTCTTGATTTGGAAACCCTAGACCTCTCTGGCAACAATCTCAACGGTACTGTTCCTGGATTTGTTGGCAATTTGCGTTCTTTGCGTGGTCTTTACCTGTCCTTCAACTATCTTAGCGGTTCCATCCCTGAAGATATTGGACTCGGTTGCTTGAGTCTTGAGCACCTGGACTTATCAGGGAATCTTCTACTTGGTAGCATTCCTCGTAGTCTTGGAAACTGTAGCAAGCTTCAATCTTTACTTCTGTTCTCCAACTTGCTTGATGATGTTATACCTCCAGTTCTAGGCTTGCTTACCAAGCTTCAGGTTTTGGATGTTTCAAGGAACAGCCTGAGTGGCCCTGTACCTTCTGAGCTGGGAAATTGTACAGCATTATCTGTAATTGTGCTATCAAATCCTTTCCACCCTGTTCGAATGAAGGAGGGTGGTGAGAGTGATGTCGACATTGATGACTTCAATTGTTTCCAAGGTGGAATTCCTGATAGTGTAACGAGATTGCCGTATCTTAAAGTTCTTTGGGCTCCAAGGGTGATACTGGAAGGTGAGATTCCTAGCAATTGGGGTACTTGCCAGAACTTGGAGATGGTTAACTTTGGGGATAATCTGTTCACAGGGAGGATTCCGGAAGTTTTCGGCCAGTGTGAAAATCTCAAGTTTCTTAATATAAGCTCAAACAAGTTGTCAGGTTGGATCAGCAATGCTCTTCCTGTGCCTTGTATGGATGTATTTGATGTCAGTGGAAATGAGCTATCAGGTCCAGTTCCAGCATTTATCAACAATACATGCCATTTGTCTAGATCCGCTTCTGATAACCAGGTGTCTGCTTATGCTTCTTTTTTCTCCAAGAGAGCTCGTGCCGGGTTATCCTCGCCTTATTTGAAAACTGGTGGTGAGCAACTGGTATATCACAATTTTGCTGGAAACAACTTTACTGGTAATTTCCCAACTTTACCTGTAGCAGTTAATACATCTGGCAACCAGATTATCTATGCTTTCTTTGTGGAGAGGAATCAGTTCGGCGGACCTTTGACGAATAGTCTATTCGAGAAATGCAATGCATTGGAAGGGCTTGTTGCCAACTTCAGCAATAACTTAATCCATGGTGAAATTCCAGAGAAAATTGGTGCCTTGTGTGAGTCTCTAGTTGTTCTTGATGCATCTGATAATCAACTAACTGGAACAATTCCCCCAAGTCTCGGGCTTTCCCAAAATCTTACAGCAATTGACTTGAGTAGAAATAGACTTCAAGGCCAGATACCTGTAAATCTTGGGAATTTGAAAATTCTGAAGTATCTCTCAGTGGCTGGTAACAACCTTAGTGGCCAAATACCTTCAGGATTTGATCAGTTAATTTCACTTGAGATGGTAGATCTTTCTTTCAATTCTCTTATGGGTGTAATCCCCAGTGGTCTCGTGAAACTGAAGAATCTTAAGGTCCTTCTCCTTGATAGCAATAAACTTTCTGGCAAGATTCCCAATGTTTCATCAGTTCCTACGTTTAATGTTTCATTCAACAATCTCTCCGGACCTTTACCTTTTAACTCCAGCAAATTGAGGTGTGAAAGTGTCTATGGGAATCCTCTACTCCCACCATGTCCTATAGTATCTCTTTCTGAGCCACCATCTAACCAGCAGGGATACATTGCAGATTCACAAGTTTATTCTGATACACCTCCTGGAAGTCCACCTTCTAAGAGCAGTAATGGTGGGTTCAGTTCTATCGAGATTGCATCCATCACATCGGCTTCAGCCATAGTTTCAGTTCTACTGGCCTTGATTGTCCTCTATGTATACACTACAAAATGTGCCCCCAGATCCTTACGACAGTCTCCAGGACAAAGGGAAGTAACTGTTTTCACTGATATTGGTGTTCCAATTACATATGAAACTGTTGTGCGAGCCACTGGAGGATTTAATGCAAGCAATTGTATTGGAAGTGGTGGCTTCGGAGCAACTTACAAGGCTGAAATTTCACCTGGTGTTTTGGTGGCTATTAAGAGACTCTCTATTGGAAGGTTGCAGGGTGTTCAACAGTTTCATGCAGAGATAAAAACTCTTGGAAGATGGAGGCACCCAAATCTAGTGACTTTGATAGGTTACCATCTCTCCGACGCCGAGATGTTTCTCATATACAATTATTTACCAGGAGGTAACTTGGAGAGGTTTATTCAAGAGAGATCCAAAAGGCCTGTGGTATGGAGAATGCTTCATAAAATTGCTCTAGATGTTGCTCGTGCTCTCACTTACTTGCACGACAATTGCGTTCCTCGAATTCTCCATCGAGATGTTAAGCCAAGCAACATTCTGCTGGATAAAGATTATAATGCCTATCTATCTGACTTTGGATTAGCCAGGCTTCTTGGGAATTCAGAAACCCATGCAACTACTGGTGTGGCTGGAACTTTTGGCTATGTTGCTCCTGAATATGCCATGACTTGTCGTGTTTCTGATAAAGCTGATGTATACAGCTATGGTGTGGTTCTTTTGGAGTTGCTTTCAGACAAAAAGGCTTTGGATCCATCATTTTCTCCATATGGAAATGGTTTCAACATTGTTGCTTGGGCATGTTTGCTACTTCGACAAGGCCGGGCTCGCGAGTTTTTTACTGAGGGATTGTGGGAAGTTGGCCCCCATGATGACTTAGTTGAAACTTTGCATTTAGCTGTAACATGTACTGTTGAATCACTTTCAATTAGACCCACCATGAAGCAAGTTGTCCAGCGGCTAAAGCAAGTCCAACCACCAACTTGATAGAACCACATTACTGAAGGTATTTAACATCTTCACTTTAGAAAGGTAAGAATTAAGTTGTAAAATGTGTTAATTTGTCCAATTTTCTGATACCTCTCAGAAACAAATCTGAGTTGTAGTTACTTTGTATTATATTTCAATTTCTCCACTTGCCTCTTGGAGCAGGTTACTGATGTATCCTTGTCAGAGTTAAAAAAAATGTTGAGATTTGTAATACCAGCTCACATTTTAAATGAGATGTGTACCTAAATTTCTTTCCTTTTTTGTATGTGGATTCCAACTAATTTTCCTATCAATGGACAGTAATGGATTGATATGTGGTGGAAATAAGTTTTGTGAAGGAGTTTTTTGTAAGGGCTTTTTTGCTAGATCTAAAGAACTTGTCTTCCATGGAGAGACATCCGAGGACTGCCCCCCTCAAAAAAGCCCCAGACATGTGAGGACAGTTGGAGGTACGAGCTGTTGTCTCGCTTACTGGCTTATTTAATTTTTTATGAATTCTGCGATTGCTGATGTTTCAGTGATTATTCAATTTTTTTTTTCTTAAATTATTCAAGATTATGCCAGAGATTCTTCAAACAATTTTCATAATGAGAATTACAGCAAGGTGAGGAAGCTTTTTTTTTTTTTCTTCAAAATAATCAGTTTTTTTCTGTTAATTCTTGAATTTTGATTCTTTCTACTCGAGATTATTAAATGGCAATTTAATAGCTAAAGATGTTATTTAAGCTTTGTTTGAGACGGCTTTTTTACGGCTTTAAGAAGCAAGAAGAAAGCTGTCCCAAATGAAACATTAATCAAACATTGAATTAAACTTGGTTGTAGTAAAATAGTTTGTCTGCGATTTTTACACTTAGAAATAGAATGTTTTTCTTAAAGACCTGCAATGTTTTTTGTAAGTGTTGCAGAGATGACGATGCTCAAGTGGATGTGTTGTTTTTATTGTTGGAGTACCTCTTAGTGATAGATATGATTAGAGAGTCGCTTTAGATGATTTGGTCACATAAAATGTTGGTCTTCGGATGATTCTAACGAGAGTAGATGTATTAGATCCGGCCTATGTTAAGAAAGGTAGAGGTAGATCCAAAAAGGCTTGGTTAGAAAATATTAAAATGACTTCTTTAATTAGGTTTAAATGAGAATTTGATTCATAATAGGACACAATGGAGAAAAAAGATTCATGTATTCGACCCCATATAGTAGGATAAAGAGTTGTTGTTATTGTAGGGTTAACACCTTAGGTAGAATTCAATATAAATGATAGAAAGCAAGGATTCATAAATCCAGGTCATGACTCCAAATAATTGGGATAATACTAATGAGGATGGTGTCTTAATTTATTTGCTTTTATGCTTTATTTGGTTTCTTGCACATGAAAAATAGCTTTTAGAAAGTGATTACTTTGTTTGGCCTTATTTTTTTGTCTAAATTTAAAACCCTCACTTTTGAGGGATTTGAATGTGCTTATAGAGTTGAAAATTCATGTTGTTAATAAACTAAATGAGCCCTTAAGAGTGTTGTATTGATCTTTACAAGCTTAAGTTTGAACTTTTTTTTTTGTGTATGGATATTGTATACTAACAACAACCTATATCAAACTTACCGTGATAGGATTCCGATTTCCACACAGCCAAAAAATAGAAATAACGAAGAAAAAACGCAGCAGAAATCAGCGAGAAATAATGAGATTATAAGCTAATTTTATTGATATCAGCTAATAAATCAAGATACAAGATAATATATTATTTAAGAGGTAGATTGACTCTCCACAAACCTTAGGCAGCGTTAGGAACAACTCCAAAGGAAATTACTGCAAAATACGAAACCACATAATGAAAATAAAGCAAATTAATTAATCCTAAATAAACCTTCCTAATTTCCTCTTAAATTTGAATTCAAATTAGTCATTTTTACCTAAATAAACTTTCCTAGTTCCCTCTCAAATCTGAATTCAAATCAGCTCTCCTTCTCTAAATAAATCTTCCTAATTTTCTCCCAAAATTTAACTCAAATCCGCACTATTTTCTTAAATAAACTTTCCTAATTTCCTTCCAATTTTAATTTTCTATGGTAAGTAATTAAAAGTATAACTAATCCCTTTTGTGCCCCCGTCTCTCTTTGCTCACCGCCCACATTAGTAGGGCCCACAGGGCTTTTTCGCCCTCCAGCTAGAATGGTACCCTTTGCTGGGGCCGGATTGATTGGCTGGACCGGCTCAGATCATACTACTTGAAGAATAAATTTTTGTTAAGAAAAGCATTTCAATCTGTGCTAAGTTACCATACTACATGTTGATTTTGCAGTTTTCAAAAAAGGTATGAAGAATAAATTTTTGTTAAGAAAAGCATTTCAATCTGTGCTAAGTTACCATACTACATGTTGATTTTGCAGTTTTCAAAAAAGCTTGAAAACATGTTTGTTATCTTTATATTGAATGGCTGAATTGAAGCCAGAGTTCTAGTTATTGGTAAAGAGAGGCTTGAACAAGATGGGTAAGTGAAGTTTAAGGCTTCGTTTGAGGCAGTTTTTTTGCTGCTTTCTAAAATAATTTTTTAGTGCAACATTTTTTAATTACAAAAATTTTTTGAGTTAGAAATTTTTGCACTAGAAAGTCGTTTTAAAAAAATAGTAAGAAAGTTTTCCCAAATGAAGCCTAAGTTTCCTGATTGTGGGTAATTTGCATCTAGATTTGTGATTTTGGAGTTAAACTCATGGTTCAACTAGCAGCTGTTGGGAGTCATTATGTTGAGATAAATGCCACCTTGAAATGGATCTTTTTAATATATATATATTTTTAAAATAATTATTCTCCATATTTTGATCATATTTAAGTCACTATGGATTTGTTTTGCTTTAATATTATTTTATCTGATTTTTTGGGACTGTTTGGGATCACATTTACTTTTGTTTATTATATTCTTTATTTTGTTTTTTTTTTATCTTATGTTCTAATATGAAACAATAATATATTTAGTTTTCTCATACTGTTTATTATTTTTAGAAAACAAAAAACAAAATATAAAAATCATCTCTACTTCCCCTGAAATCGCCTCATCCTGAGGTGCTTAGGATGAGAATTTTTTAAAAAAATATATATAAAAAATGTCTAAAACTAATTTTGAGTATTTTTTAAACAATTTATTTATTTTTTAGAATATAAAATAAAAATTAATTAAACAGTCTTTTTTTAAATATTTTTTAATAAAATAAAAACAAAACAAATTTTGATCTCAAGTAGAGCTTTAGTTGTTCTTCTCTTAAATGTCAAGCTAATTTTCCTCTATTAAAGTAGCATAAAGTCAAGTAGTCATTATGAGCAATGAGCATGAGCCAAACAATAATTTAACATAGATTTGATTTGCTTCCAATACCTCTCTCTCCAGTGCATTCAAGTCGCCCTTCATTAAAGCTTGTTTATGGTCATAAGAAGCCTGGAATATCTAATAAATTTTTCATGAGACTCAAGAACACGAGAAATTATTCTATGCGGACGTCGAATCCAACTCGATATCCGGAGATCAACCAGAACGAGCCAAGTCAACAATATCGAGCGCAGTACCAAGCGGTACCGAGTCGCGGTACCAACATGGCTTATTTTTTAATTGGTCTCCATACAGCGTTCGGCGTCCGCACAGAATAATTCCTCCGCGAACACCCACTAGGAATTTCTGTTTCTCCACAAGTAATTAATTTACATTTCTTTCTGTTCATTTCAAGCTCATCTGATAGAGATATTTAACAGCTGGCTTTCAATCTCTGTCAGGTTTGAAGGAACTTACTGCTTCTATGACTTTGATATCTCACTGAGTGCAGTAGCAATGCTTCTTAAAGGTGAAAATCACTGAGCAAGGTTCCCCTTTCTACGTGCATAGGCTTTTAATCACTGACCCCTCAAAAGTATAATTGCACTTCTGTGGTTTGGCCTTCCCAGTTTTGATCAGTAAGCTATAATACTCTTTCGGATTTGCTTGCCAGTTGTATTCAGCAAGTCATAATACTCTTTTACATCTGCTTGCTCTGTTGTATTCAGTAGGGTTTCTATTGTTGATGTCAACTTCTCTATTAGCCTTAATGGGGCTCTTCGTGCCTATTTAAATTTATTGTCGAGCTAAGGCAGGGGTGCTCATTATCCCCTATCGATGATTTATTTAATCAACTTATTGGATATTCTGTGCTTTCCAAGATTGATCTGTTGTTTGAATATTATCAGGTGAAGGTGAGAGAGTCTGACGTGATGAAGACAACTTTTAATATGAGATAGGGACATTATGAGTTTTTAGTCATGTCATTTGGGGTGAACAATGCCCCAACAATTCTTATGAATATAATGAATAGAGTATTCAGAGATTTTATGAATTAGTTTGTGATTATTTTCATAGAAGATATTTTGGTATATTCTATTGAGGAATATCATGTTAGACATTTAAGGATTATTTTGGAAACTTTTAGACAACATGAGCTATATGCAAAATCCTCCAAATATGAATTCTGATTGAGTATTTCTTTTTTGGGATACGTGATGAGTTGTGCTGGTATTTCTTTTAATCTCCAGAAAGTTCATGCCGTCACTGATTGGTTGGAGTTTACTACTATATGTGAGGTATGCAATTTCTTAAGTATGATTGAAATTATAGAAAGTTTGTGAAGAGTTTTTCTCAAATTTTTGCACCTTTGACGAGATTGACTAAAAAGTCAATAGCTTTTGTATGCACACTGGAGTGTGAGGCTAGTTTTTAGAGATTGAAGAATTATTTGATTTCTACTCCTATTTTGACTCTTCCTTCTGATACAGAAAGCTTTCAGTTATTCAGTGATGTTTCACTGAGAGATTTTAGGTGTGTTTTGATGCAACACTGTAGAGTGATAGCTTATGCCTTCGGGCAATTGAAGCCAAATGAGAGGAATTATCTGACATATGATCTAAAATTTGCTACTATAATTTTTGCTTTGAATTTCTAAAGATATTATTTGTATGGAGTTAGATGTGAGATCTTTATTGATTATCAGAGTCTTAAATATATATTCACTCAGAAGGATCTGAACTTAAGACAAAGGAGCTGACTTGATTTGATCAAAGACTATGATCTGATTATTTTGTATCGACCTGACAAGCTATTGTAGTAGCTGGCGTTCTAAGCAAGAAATCTCCTGGATAATCATGTATTCATCTTACTTTTGATGAGTATTTGATATGTTATATTGAGATATTATAATTGAAGGTGATTTCTTCTACCAATTGAGATTATGGTATATTAGCTCATATGATTATTCAGCCTTCTTTGTAAAAAAAAAAATAGAAATCTAAAAAGTCAGATACAATGTATTCAAAGTTGATTTATCTGATTATATCTAATAAGAAATATGAACTATAAGTATCTGATTTTGCTATTATCTTCTGCAATGATAGATTATGGGTTCCTATTTATGGAGATCTAAAACGAGAGATTTTACATGAAGCTCACCTTTCCGACTACACTATTCACCCATTTAACTGTTCGGTATTTGATCGGAGTTGATAGATATTTTTTTGTTGATTTTTGTACAGTCATAGCTAATTTATTTTTCAATTTTGTAACTTTTATTTATAATAATGTGTTTTAGTTTATATATTTTGATGAAATGAAAGAAATTTTATAGATAAACTTATTTTTACTACTTGGATGTTTTAGTAACTACGTAGTATGTTATTTATTTAAATTTTATATTGAAAGAGAATTTGAAATATTTCAAAACTAGATCTTGGGATTTATGTCATTGTTCAGCACAATAGGACCTATCGTGTTTGGGTTGGGTTGTGATAGTAAATTTCTGTATCATGAGGATATTAATCTCAAAAAGCTACTCCTGGTGTCTTGGAAGAATAGCTGCAGACTCAAGGATCTAGGGGGTCTCAGCTTGCCATCTTTACAAACCCTTTATCATGCTGATTTCTCGTCATTTGGAGAATTTTTTCTACAAATTCTTTACATGTTGGTTGGTGCTTGTGTAAATATGTTTCACCTTGGAAGGAGTCATCTATTTCTGCTTCTAGCTTTTTGAAGAAAGTCTCTTTGGTGGCAAGCAAAATCAAATGTAACATGACCTTTAAAATCTCTGCTCGTCTTCGTTTTCTTTCCTCTAAGATCTGTGATTCCAACCAACTGCTTTATCATATCATATTCCTCAAGGTGCATTTGTATCTGCTTTTATTAATGGTTATAGATGGCTCCGTCCACCATCTCTTCATGATGACCTCATAATCATGATTCACAACATTGTTGTTGGTGATGATTTTGGCATCTATTGGAATGACAATCCTCATCCTAACTTTAAACTTTCTTTCCTTCAAATTTTTTACCATGAATAGGTCCCTTGTTCCTTGGCATTTCATGATATGGTATAATTTTTTTTTTAGAGATACGTTGTTTTTTTACTTTGTTATGATTGGAGGTTTTAAAACTACATATGTTTTAATTAGGAGGAATATTCATCTAAATCCTCTTTAATGATTTTGCTTGTAGTCTAATGAATCCTCTACCAATCTTTTCTTTGAATGCCGACACTCTTATGGCATCATTAGCCACTTGATTCCTTGGGCTTCAACCTTTCTCTTTAGACCTTCCCTGCTCCAATTGTTGTCTTTTATTTCTGTTACGGAGAATATTGGGAATCATGTTAAAAATTTATATTTTCTTGCTACTTTCTGCTCTTTGTACTACATTTGGAGAGAAAGTAACGCTAGAAGATTTGAGAATGAAATTGATAGTGCCACAACGACTTGTTTCAAAATTAGAAAGGCCCTTCATCTTAAAGGCTGTTTCCTTGAAAAGTTATGGGAAATTTGCTAGCTTATCCCCTAACTTGGTCTTTTATGTTGGTTTACACCTTATGCTAGGTGTCTTGGATGGAGTTTGGGGTTTCTTTTCTATTGTCATTTCTTGTTATTGCTCGTTGGTTGTTTTTGTCTGCTGGGGACTTTTTAGTGGACTTTGAAGTATCTATTTTCTGGCTTTGTGGTTATTTAGTGGGTCTGCTTCTTCTTTTGGGGTGGCTTTGATGGACATTTTGGCTTTATTTGCTTTGGCTGTCTTGTGCTTCTGTTTGTTGGGTGTTTTTCTGGCTGATGAGGATTTTTCGGTGGATTATGATGAATCCTTTACATGTGTTTTCGTTTTCCCTTGGAAGGTCCTGGCTGACAACCATGGGACTTTTGGCAGCTTCTCTCAAGTATTTTGAAATCCTTTATTGGTTATTTAGCTTTAGTGGATGAGTGGCTTTACCCTTAGAGATAGGATACGAAATGAGCATATACGTGAAAATGTTGGAGTAACTCCAGTAGAAGATAAGATTAGGGAAAGTCGTCTTAGATGGTTTGGTCACATAAAACGGCGGCCTTGCGATGACCCAGTTAGGAGAGTAGAGGTATTAGATTTGACTTATGTTAAGAAAGGTAGGGGTAGACTTAAAAAGACTTGGTTATAAAATATTAGGAATGACCTTTCTTTATTAGATTTAAACGAGAATTTAACTTTTAATAGGACACAATGGAGAAAAAGGATTCATGTTGCCAACCCCACGTAGTGGGATAAAGGCTTGATGTTGTTGTTGTAGTAATTCTGAGTCCACTCTTTTTTGTGTTTTTTTTTTCTATTTTCATACAGTGCAATGCTATGTTTTTGATGCAGCTCTTCATATTTTCTCTCATTGGTTGTTGAGTTATAACTTTGCCCTTAAGTTTTGCTGTAATTCTTTCTTCACAGTGGAAAAAAAAAATACACAAAAAAGAGTGCAAAGGGTGCCATACATTAAGAAAAGAAAATATTTGCTTCCTGTTTCAATTTGCAAAATTGTTATCCAATGGGCTCTGCTACTATCTAGTGTGAAAGTCCCATGAAGCTTTCTGTTCAATCTCCAGTTAAATAGTTGAAAAATCTTTGAAAAATGTTGAGCTCTCATTCGAAAGGGAGATTGTTTAAGGCTTCGTTTGGGACGGCTTTCTTACCGTTTCATAAACAATTTTCTAGTTAAAAAATTAAAATGTTATATTAAAAAGCTGTTTTAAGAAACAAAAAGAAAGTCGTCTCTAACGAAGCCTAAGTATTTGAGAATTACAATTTATTCTCATATCAAATATTTATAAAATATATTAAAGTAAGATTCAAGTTGGTGCTACCATTTGCATATAATATTTTTTCTGTTCTTTTTATATATAAATGGTGTCTCTCTGTGTGCTCTTTCAATAATCTTTAGCACAACCTTCAGTGGCAACTTATTCTATGATAAATATATCAAGTATTGATACCATTGTTCTATTCTTCAGTAATTAAAGCAGTAGCTGCCATGCTGATATCCTTAGTCATCTACTCTGCTGTCTATATGATCACAGTTCAGTATCTGGATTGAGATCTGTTCAAAATTGTTCAAAATGAATTAGATTTGTCTATAGAGATATTGATTCAAGGTAAATATGATTCATTAAGGTTTTTGTTTGGGACTGCTTTCTTATTGCTTCTTAAAACAGCTTAGTATAAAAATTTAAATTTTTATATTAAAACTTTATTTTAAGAAACATCAAAAAAGCTGTGCTCAAACGAAGCCTAAATTTGGTTCAAGTTTAATCCTCATTAGATTATGCTTCAATTTAGATGAAGTTTAGTTCTGTTTGGGGAGATAGGAGTAAACACTACATTGATGAAATAAACAAGAAATTAAAAGTAAAAAAAAGTAAATGACAACATGATTTAATCGAAAAATTCCAAAATAGGGAAAAATTGAGTCACACCATACCAAGAAATTCACTATGAAAATTAAAAAAATAAATATTGATCTCTCCTCTCACTCTCTTCGTGCTTCTCTTCTCACATACATCGTTCTCAATGTTTAACTAGCTTAGAAAATACAAGAGAAAATAAGTTATAACCCCCAAGGGACGCAACCCTTGAGAAAAACGAGAAAAATAACCGTTCAATCCGTCTCGCAACACTGCGGCGCCCAATCTGCTTGACAATGCTACATCCCTCAAACACTTAGCATTGTGGCGCTCAATCTCTGTTTTGACTTGTTGCGGCGTCATATCTCGACCGCTGGATGTTTTGTTCCATGTCGTTCAGCGCTAGGGCGCTTGGGTACGTAGTGCCGGGGCATCATACAAAAAAAATCAAGTTCAAAGTACCCAAACCCAAGTAGGGGGTAAATTCCCCCACACCATCCAATGTACACGACAAACTTTGAGGTCTGAGACAACAAAACAACCAGATTGATCAACACAATCAGATTCCACACATAACAAGTTCCTAGCTTCTAGTTCAATTCAATTCTGAGTTGATACCAGTTACCCTTGAAAATAAAATATTAAAATTTGAAGACATTTATACTTATATAAACTCTAATTTTGGCATAAATAATATACCTATAACATTAACTTAGAAAAAAACATATGTCAAGATGTCCTGATCAAAAATTGGTCATGACAACTTCAAAATTTGTTGATTTGCTTTAAGATTGACATATTTATTCATATTACACTCATCTCAATGCAGATTTAATAGCTTTTAAATTCGCCCCATGATAATTCTTTCCTTGCTCTACCATGCAGCTCCCAAAACTCCCCGAGACAATAATCCTCTAGCTCATGATTTTCTTGCCATCATCTTAGATCATCTTGGGTCTCAAATACTCCTGGCAACAACTGTAGTTCAAATTGATTTACAATGAACTAGTCTACCAGATAAAATAACAGTAGTTCAAATTGATTCACGAAGAAAAAATCCAACAGATCAAGCAGCGCAATTCGGCAAAAAAAAAAAAACGATGCAGATTTCAGAAGAAGAAAAAACTTACAAAAGGATTCTATTCTCTCTGCATAATTTAGCTCAAAGTTAAAATCTTTCAGCGTTTCTGCTGATCAAAAACATAAAGAAAGAAAGCTTCTAACCAGCTGAAGGGATTAGATTAATCTGATAGCCTTCGTCACAACAAGGAACCAGAGCTGGGATTCACAACGATATGCCGAAGAGGATGAGCTACATCACCACCACCGGCATGCTTAACAAATTCTGCCGGCGAGAGGAAGTTCCCATGGCATACACAGACTATACTCACCTCCCCTTTCCCATAACTATAAAGGAAACCATCTATCCTTCTACCATTAGGACCGTTGCCTCTCGTCGACACCGATGGCATCTCCTCCACCATGTTCTTGCCGATATCACTAATCCCACGGTTAAGAGATCTTTCTTCGTCCTTCTTTCTCAAGACATTTTCTTTGAGCGCAGCTTCATTACAACGAAAGGTGCCATTGATGGATTTTGGTGCTGGTGTTGCCATTGTCGGGGCCTTTGAAGGGTTGTTGACATCAGAAGCACAGATGATTCCAGGGAATTCAAAGCCTGTAGAAGGAAATAAGCAGAAGCTCATTTCATGATTGTAGCTTTATGTATAAATTCAGATCTCATCATCTCTACATACCTTGCTCTTGCTGGCTTTCAAATTCCGATCCACCAGAAGAACTACTCCCCTGCGACGCCACCCCAAATCTTCTCGACGACGATTGAACTCCATTCTCTTCTACTTCAAACCTTCTCATCTTCCGCACAGACCCCCCTTCAAAATCATCATCAAATCTCTTTAAGTTCCTTTTGTCCTCCCTTTTCCTCATCGCCTCCATCCTCTTAATACTTTGCACCTCCTTCCTCCTTCGAATCTCCTCCTCTGCATCGCTCGGCATCGAGCAAGTCCTGACCAGCGGCACAACGGTCGGAAAATCACTTCGAAGTATAGCAGGAATAGAAGAAGATCTCATGAGCCGATTATTCTCTGCATCCTGTGAACTAAAGCAGCCGCCGAGCGAAAGCCCAAGCTCAATCTCGTCGGAGTCCCCGCCGGTTACTTCTTCCGTCGAGAATCCGCCGGAGAATCGCCGCAGAAGATCCCTCGCCCCTGCCTCCATCGGATCCATGCTAAAGAGAGGATTTTGACTACATCAGGGTAGAAAGAACGGATTTTGATGAGAGGATAGACGAAGGGGGCATCTGCAGTTGAAAAAACCAGACGCGGTAAATAATCAAACGTCAAAAGTCGCCGGCGGAGAGGAACGGAGTTGGAAAACAAGCGTTTTTTTAGAATGGAATGAGGTGCGTGAACTCTTCTTCAGTGGCAGGGGAAGGTAATAAAAATCAGAGCATGACCTCAAGGGAAATAAATCACGTGTCGGGTGGATGGCTCTTCCGAGGACACGTGGAAGAAGGAGACGGAAAGCTCGCATCGCGAAGCAAGCGGCGACACCATTTTGGGTGGCGAGATACCGGCGCCGATGGCGGTCAAATGCTGGACACGTGTCGAAACAAGAGATCCGTTCCGAATTCCGATACGGCGTTACGTGCCGGAAGTCGTTATGGTCCGATCGCCGGCGTACTAAACAGTCGTTCAACGTGTCTACTGCGCGACACGTGTCAGCAATCGGATAGGCGGCCCGAAGAAAGGATAATTATTTGTTATTTACACAAATATTGGGTTGTGACAAACTATTTATATTAATAGCTAAAATAAATTTATATTTAAAATTAGATCAGTTCACATCAATATTTGTCATCCCTATAATCACAGCCATAAAATTTTTATTTAAATTTAATAAAAAATATCATTTTTAATACTTACAAAAGTTTTATTCATATATAGTGCATTGATATGATTTTTTTTTATATAAAACTTTCAGAAGTTTTATTTTATATGATTTAACTATGGAGTTGTTTGTTTTGTTAATAAATATAATAAGTTTGAAATATTATATAGTATTTGAATGAATGTAAAATAATAGATATCGCTATTTTTTTATTCAATTTAAAAATAAAATGAATTTAGTATAAAGACATAAGTGATCTTTAGCTACGAAGGTGGTGGCCTGCAATAATGATGAGGTTGCATGCCACGATGTCTGAGGCGCGTAATAATGATCGCAACGAGTGATTGATAATAGAGAAGACACGTGACGGGCTGCATGGGGTGAAGCTTCAGGGATGCGGGTTATCTTGAATTTTTGAAAATAAGATGAATTTTAAATACATTGAAAATAAATTAAATTTTGAATTTCGAATGCCTCACAAAATTATTTTATATACAATTTTCATCCAACAAAAAGAAAATTAAAAATCTTAAATTCATTTTTCAACCAATAATGCGGTCACTAAAAGTGATTCATGTAAGTACTCAATAAAAATAAAATGTATCAAATTAAAGAAATTTTTTTTATTTACATATATTAATAATAATATGCATAATATGTTGAATAACACATTTTTCTTTTATTTTACCAAAATAAATATTACAAATTTCACTCTTAATTAAAAAAAAATACTCTTGTGAATAAAAAAGTTACCCTCTTTCATCCATAATGTAAATAAGATAATTCTTTTTCTAAAATTTATACAATATACTCTTGTAAGGGATCAATTTGTAAAATAAAATTAATTTTAGAAAATAGATTACATTCCCTTTTTCTAATTAAAAATAAATAAAGAAATTTTAGGCCCTCCTTTTTTAATGAGGCAGACAGACCAACTTGTTGCGGGCCCCACAGACACTCCCACTTGCTGGGTCTTTTTACAATGGATGATAAATCGCCACGTGTCAACAATGTCACGTGCCTTTGCGGCCCGCAACACAAAATCGCGGCGCCAACTTGATAGAAGATTTACACGTGTTGCTCGCCGACAGGACCGGCCTAGGAAGACAAGGGCCCACAAATAACGTCATCGCATCCCATACATCATATATCTAAATAAAGTGGATGACAGCCACGTGTCAAAGGAGACGAAATCCGTTATGGTCCCCACATTCTTCATCAATTATACTAAAAATTATATTTTTTGAGACATTTGGTTTAAGGGTAAACAACCCGGATACGATATAAAAAAAATTTAGTTCGAATTAACTCATTTGAAAAACAGGTCAAAATCGGGTTGACCCAACAGCCCACGGGTCGAACCGTTTAACTTGGATCCCGCAAGACCTAATCGAGTTTTGATAGGTGTGAGCTCTTGTAGGCTGCGGCCCTGCCTAGCAGTGCTGGCGCTCTTGCCTCTCGAGTCTCATGCTGGAGCTCCGTCGGCTCGGTAAATTGGTCAAGCCTGCCTCACTCTGACTCTGTTGTCCGCCGACTCCGCTGATCAGCGTGAATCCTTGGTTAAACCCCGCCTAAATCCGACTCCACTGGCAAGCCCTATGCATGATGATGTGACTCAGCATTCAACAATTGCACTCGTGTGTTTGCAGGTCTGGTCGGATTAACCCGGCAACTCCTGTCGATCAGGTCCGAGTTAGAAATTCTGACCCTTTAACTATAAGGGTCGGGTTCAGGTCAACCCATCAGGTTCGACCCGAACCCGACACGTTGACTCGAAATGACACATCTAATTTGGGTCACTTAAATCAAATTCATACACATTACAAGTCTTAATTGAAAATCAAAGCCCCCAAACAATAAACTAAAGTGAGCTACTTTTATAGAAAAAATGGGAGTTTATATGCCCAATAATTTTTCGTCTTCAAATTAAAAGACTCGTAGAATTTGAATAAACATATTAGGATATTAAAGTTGACCTATTTTTTGTGCTTTATTCTATGGCAATTTTTGTTCAAAAGTAATTTAATAGATGTATAATCTTCAATGTTATATTTTCGTCTGTGGCGCTAATCAGATCGTGATTAGCAATGAAGTTAGTGATAATATAAATTTGCCAAAGTTTTAAGGAATGAGATTAGATATGTTTTAATGTCATTCTAACATTAATTGAAACATGTTTGGCATGTGATTGAGCATTGTTCAAAGCTATTTTGTATTTTAAAATCTTGGGTCTATTGTTTAGATTGACGGTGAAATAGATGGGGGCATTATTTTTAGAATTCAAGTTGATTGGTTGAAGTGGAAGAATGCATCGAGCTTGTTTTGTCATACTATAGAATATATATTGGAAGAATTACATCAGTATTTAATTTTAACAGTTTAACTGGAGCTTATCAATGAATAGTGAGAAGAAACAATATTACAATTTTATTTTGTCCGGAGCCTTATATCATAAGATTTTTACTCTTTCCTAAAAATATGTAAAATCGTGTAATGAGCAAAAAGCCTTGTAAGAAACTAAAATGTTACAACTTAAATCAATGCATGATAAATGAGAACAATATGGTTTAAATCCTTGGAGCGGGTTAGTGTTTCAGGAAGATCAGATTGGCAGGTTTGGATGGTTTTGAAATGGAGTTGAAAGAAGTCAAATTGTCATCCGTAAGAGACAGCTTCGCATCTGTGTTGATTCTATCAAACCTAGGTACTTTCTCTTATAGAAAACATAGCAGCTACAAATTCCATGTTTCTGGCTTGAAACTATCAACGCGCCATGACACAAATGTTTGAACCAATAATTCTCTTCTTCATCATCAATCGAACCTTCCTTCGAATTGGTACACGCTTGAGAACCTTTTTCATTTACAATTCCTCCTTTTCGTTCTACTTAGGTGGAGCAATCCGAACTCTCGACAGAATAGAAAAGAGGGCCGCAGGCGTGTAGACACCTCAACGAACTCATGTGGACACTCCTCAGCCCGAGGACAATCTCTGAAATACACATGAATGAAGACCAGTTTTTCTTTTCTTTGCTGATTCCTCTCAATGAAATTTGCCATGTTGCACTAAGTTACTTACGGATGTATGCATGCAGTCCGGGAACACTTTGGGGTGAACACCCATCCGAACAAGTAGGGTCAATAGTTTAGCATTTAGGCCGTAACATTTAGCAAAAAACAAATCTTTCACCCAACAAGTGCTCTCCGAACCAAGCTAGATAGTCTCCTATCACTAGGCTCACCAACCAACCTGGACTTTGATTCTTCTTATTCTTACCGGATATCAAAATCATAAGGATTGTTTCCAGCCATGAGTTCCCATATGACATAAGCGCTCTTGGGTGGAGTGGGCCATCATTCGCCAGGTCTTTGAGTGCCCGTCGTACCACGTGGTTGGTGCACTAGGCTGATCGAGACTCGACTTTGAGGATCTGGCACCTGCGCCCGGCCCGGTCTGCCAGTGAATTTTGGCTCTACGTCCGGTCGTGCGTGGTATGTTCGCGATTCGTACAAATGGAACGCATCGCGTACGTGAACCTTCCTTTATTGGGTCCGTCCATCAAAGATTTGAGAAGGGATCTCGTATTTGATGGTCGGCGTGGCAATAGGCTTCGCTTCGTAGACTGGTTCCCCAGCCGTTGCAAAGACTTCGCGAGAACGGTCAGGGGCTAGCGGGGATGCGATTCGCCAAGCTGGGGCAAACAAAGCCGTCCTACCGGATTAGGAATGCGAAGCTAGCGCCTTCCTTCGAAAGGAGACCCGGGAAAGAGCTATGCTATTGACCGACCCTTTCGTAGTTACTTCGAATCAAGAGGCCTCTCATTTTTCATGAGGCGGGCCAAATAGAGAATGAAATGCTGAAATAGGGGAAGGGGGGATGGTCGCGCCTTTTCTTTTTTTTCAGGGCTGCTCGCCCTACTTCACTGAAGTCAAAATTTCGGCCAGTAGCGCCCTTAGAATATAAGCCCTGTGAAGCGCCAGTAGTTGTAGCTGTGGGTAGGGCTTTCGTTCAACTCGCTCCGGGTTCCGATCTATATGACCTCCGGGCGGTACAAAGTACACCTCTTCCGTAGAGGCAGGTAGTAACCTAACCTTTCAGAGTCGGGGGAGCCGAGCCCTCAACTCTATCAATGGAAAGATCTCCGTGCGTGGCGTGAGTTGGAATCCTAGAAAAGATCGATTGAGACTCCCTCCCCGGTCCCACGAAGATCTCTACGTACTTGTCCAGTCTAGGACAACTGAGATCTTCCGGTCTGCGTGCGTGGGAGCAGCTGAAACAAAAAAGAGTCTGGTCCGCTCTGAATTCAGGCCCGGCCCGCCCGTCTGCTGCTAGGTCCGGGGTCCGGGAAGGGCGCCAGGCGAGGTGCGTAGCAAAGAAATGCCCCGCAGCTCTGCTGCGGCCGGCCTCCGGACTATGCAAAAGAATCGAGGCCGGGGGGGTGTCGTCCGCCCCCCCCTTTTTGGTGATTGACCGAACAAATAGGCTAGTCCGTCCCCCTTAATGAATCGAATGGTCCTTCGACCTTCGTTTGATTCCGACGG